AAATCAAATTCATCCATTTTATATAATTTATTTTTTAAATAATTTTTATTAAAATTTTGCAAAAAAAATTGAATTATAACCTATAAAATTTTTGCCACTATCTTGAAGTAGATGTATTTCTAAGCATACCTGAAAAAATTGCGAGTTTTTTATTCAAAATTTCCTAAGATATTCGTAAATTCCTAAGATATTCGTTCTGAAATTTGGCGTATTTATTACAAGTGATAATAACGAAAATGTAGTTTACTTACTTTGTTAAAATTATTTGAAAGTATGAACGATGACTTTATTTTCCGCGCTCGTGAATAATGGAAAAAGGAAAGGAAAATAAGTTGCTATAAATTAAGAAGTTCAACAAGTGAATTATATTCTTGGCTCAAACTGAAAAAAAAAAAAAAAAAAAAAAAAAAAAAAAAAAAAAATCTGAAATGTTTCAGATTTTAAATTACGTCCAAAGAGGCGTTTTTTAATATTTTGTGTGTTACCTTTCTTTATTAAATATCATGTTCCTCGCACTTAAACCATAAGATCCAGTGCAACAGCAATATCGCAAAATATTTTAAAACGAGCCATATCTTTAGAAATTTCCGATACAGAGACTCACGCGCTGGAGATAAAAATGTTTTTTCTGCACAACGTTGCCATTGCTCGCTTTGAAATCCTTGAGTTTGTTAATCAAAAATTCGTCAAAGTTTTAAAAAATAGGAAATCGATCATAAAACAAATTTCAAATTTCAAATTTGGTCTTCCACATGCCTATATTCGTTGGAGGATTACGTTATTCAAAATTCGATGACTCTATGTACCGTTGTTTTATCACAATACGAGAAATATACATACATTTATGCAGATTTTTCATTATTTAATTTCTTCAAATATAATGCAGGACTCTAACATTTTCTGGCAACAGTTTGAAAAGTGAACCGACATTTATGAGTCCGACGCAAAATGCCAAAACGAAACTAATAGTCCTTCGGGATTCAAATCTCTTTGGACTAAAAATGCGAAAACAAATTTTTAAATTTCTCACCAATTTTTACAAAATTCAGTATCTAAGCATAATATGAGTCGCAGAATAGAAATATAAAAAAATGGTATATTTCAGAAAAAGTCCGATTTTGTGTCAAAATACCTATATTAGAGCAATGCTATATATAAATCTGATATATATCCTAAGTCGCGCTTTCGAAATCTGGAAAACGCAATATGAACTGTCCCTTTTTTTCTTTTTCCGCAGTGTACATAAAATATTAAATATGAATGTGGACTGATGAATATTTGCAATTTATTTTGGTTATAAGGAACATAAGATTTCAACTTTTATGAAGTGAAATATTGTTAAAAATAATTTATCTCATTATTAAACCAATATACGTAATTTTGATTTGTGTGCAGAGATGTTGGCAGCAATGGTTGCTACAAGCAAATTGCCGACGAAATGAAGCTCTGGACGGTGAAGGAGCACAAATGCGAGGCAAGAAAGGATGATTATTCGCCACGCCTGAACCACCCCTACAGTATCATTGCCGATTATTCAACGCACTACAGCCACATCTATACCTCCCGTGGTATCGTCCACCATCTCATGGCGCTAGTCTGAGTCGGGGTTACGCTCACAGAGGCCTTTAAGACGTTTGCCTTTGACCCCACAACATCGGCGGAGTCATCTGGAGTGGTATCGCAGCCGATCATCGTGGCTGCTATCAGACTGACATCGTATAGTGTTCTTCGATGAATCTCGCTTCACTCTTGAAGCAGATGACCACCGTGTTCGTGACTGGAGAGGACGGGGCAGCGGTCCAAATCAGCCTTTGTTTTACAAAGGCATACAGTCATTAACCCCTGGTGTGACGGTGTGGGGCGTTATTTCTTATGATAGCAGGTCATCTTTAGTCATCCTCCGTGCATCTTTAACAGCTAAACGATATGTTGACACCATCCTGCGGCCGGTCGCATTACCCTTCATGGCACTTCATGCTAGGGCCATTTTCTAACAAGATAATGCCAGCCCACATACCGCTCGCATATCTCTGGATTGTCTCCGTACGGTTGATACACTTCCTTGGTCATCAAGGTCACCAGACCTTTCACCAATCGAGCATGTCTGGGACATAGTGGGCCCGCTAGATTCGGGCACCACAAAATATCACAGATCTGGAGCGACAACTGATGAATGCCTAGCAGAATGTGTCGCAGGATGGCATTAGGAACAATCCAAGCATGCAGTGCCGCCAGGGGCGGTTCGACTACTAATTTGAACACTCAATGAGTGATTTGAGCCGTGAACAGGTATAATGACCTTGATTTTTTAATTATTTTATTATATGTGTATCGGCTATACACATATTCAATTTCATCAAAAACAACCGCTTCCTTCACGGTGCTTCGATTTTTTTTTTTTTCAAAAGAGTGTAGATATGTTGTCCTTTGAATGCCGTTTGAATGCCTACCTTTGGAATTGGCATCCTATGGAATGTTTTACATCTGACATCAAATATTCATTCTTTATGTCAAAAAGGAACGACTATGTTTTGCCTTTAATGGCCAAATTGAGAAAAATTAGTTAGACATAATATTAAAAATTGAAAAATGATTTAAAAGAAATGCCTAATTATTAAGAACTAACCACATTTCTATTATTCATATCAGTATAGTTACAGATTGGTTAAGTTTGAAAAAAATTAAAGATGCTTTGCTTTGTCAGATAGCAATATTCAAAATTGGTTTTATTTCCTTGCACGAAGTAAAGGAAGTATTGTAATCACAAAAAATTCCAGGTACCATATTTCAACGAAAATATTCATTTTGACCGCTATCGAATGCAATTTAACGATGTTTTTGCGTGACATTGTACGTAGGACCGAATAAAAGAATTTTTTTCCCAGACGAATTATAAAACTGATTAAAAATGGATTCAGAAAAGATTTGTCGTGGCGTCTGTGCGTACGTACGTACGTATCTCGCATAATTCAAAAACGAGTTGTCTCAGAACGTTGAAATTTGGTATATAGACGTCCTGACAGCGATGCTGCTTGGAATTCCTAACGTTCTAGAAGATTCTTCACAACAGTCTTGCGGTAGATGGCGCTGAAAGGAAGGGGGCATGAACAACGATCCTTCTGGAAGTCGTCAGTTGAGATCCCGTTCCCGCGGTAATTGGATAAACGCGTATTCAAACGCTGAACTGGTCGACATGCTGATCTATTATGGAACTGCGGATTGGTTACGAGCAAAAACACCGCTTGGCGGTTGTCCAGGAACGTTACCCGAATAGGCGTGCTCCACATCAGGGTTTCTTAAGCTGTGGGTCGGGACACCCAAGAGGTCGCGGGACCTGAAGCAGAGGGGTCGCCAAAAATTTTAGCAGTTTTGGTATTTTTTTTAACATATATTATAATAATTTTACGGTTCTCAAATATTTTTACACAATGTATCTGAAAATATATAAAGATAAGACAACGCAGACAAAGAAAAAAACGAAAGCGTTTCGACACATTCTTTTATAATATAAACGTTCATTTTCCTTGCTTTACACGTGAAGCTGTCATTTCGTCTGTTACTTATTTAAAAGTTTCACATTGTTCTATGTCTTAAAATTAGAAATTAAAGTTAATGATCTAAAACTGAAATAGTACTATATTGCAGTAGAATTGAAAAAATTGATAGTTTCACTCACGCGTGTGTCGGATTTGCGCAATACTTATGGGTTCCCACAAAGTTCTTGTAAATATTATGGGGTCCTGGGAGTCGCGAAAAAATCTCAGTGATAAAAAGGGGTCGCGACTGAAAAAAAGTTTAAGAAACTCTGCTCCACATCACACGACCTTCGAAAGTGTGAACAGAAGGTTACGTGAGACGGGTTGTTTAACGAGAGCTACAATGAATCGGTTCTGCCCAGTCCTTTGGACGGTAGGGCATACCTGATCTTCTTGCAAAAATCCTGCTCGAACTTCTTGACGCAGCACATGTTCCTCCGTCGTTGCGCCGCTCCATGTGATACCAGCATGACGTCACGCCTCCACATTACAAAACTGACGTCCGCCGACATATCAACGTAACCTTTGGACAGCGGTGCGTAGGTGGCGAGCCGTGTGGACTACCAACGCTGTCGGACGTGTGTCAATTCTGCTCCTGGTTTTTGTGCTTTTTCGAGTGTTCAAAGTGCCGCCGGAAGTGCGCCGTTAGTGTTAAAGTGTGCGTGAATGTGCAGTGCATCGATTGATATATCGTTTATGTGTGTGCGCTAAGTATTTCTCTGTGAAATTGTGTTTTTGTGTTATTCACAAAGGATTTCAGGCTGCTGCAATTTTAGCGGACTTTTGTGCACATCCCCTGCCGCCTCCCTACGGAAGGTTCCCGCCGGCCAAACACGTGGCACCGAGGTAGGCCTAACTTTTTCGATGGAATTTTTCTAAGTCCAGAAATTGGTCAATTGTTTTTAAAAAATTAATTTCTCAGCACCTAATTATGTTATTTTTACATGGTTTTCATCAAAATGATCAAAATTAAAAGTTCTTTCTTTGTATAATATTTATATTACTGTATCATTGATATTTAACGAGTTAGGTCATAAGTTTATATTTATGTCTACTTCTGATTTACCTTGCACCCTGTATACTAGGCTTAACTCTACTTTTAATTTATGTTAGCTCCAAAGGGTTTGTCCTTTTGGCACTTCATTTTTGTCAATATTTGAACATTGTCGAGACGCAGAACTTTTTGTCGAAATCTTGTTTTCTATCATTTATATTGATAAAAATAGTGTTTTCAGCATATTTATTGACTTTTTGACTGTTTTATATTATTCCTTATGAACTGTATTTCTTATGTCATTTAATTGTTTTTATTAGACTTTATTGTTTTATATCGTTGTAACGGTGCTTAACATCATAGTTTTCTTTTACTTTTGCTTGAGTTCTTATATACTTTGTGTTATAAGTGATATATATAGATTTTTATTTATATGCGATATATATAGATTTTGATTTATATATGTAACAATGTCACGATCATCTGTTGCACATGTAGACACAGTACCTATTGAGGACTTTGACCCATTTGAACTGATTACTACCGAACAATTGTATAGTGATAAAGTTAATCTATTGTACACTTGTATACACTCTATTGCTACTACATTCCGAGGTGGTAAGCATATTCTACGATCTGAATTACGAGATAAATTGACCCGGTCTTTAGACGCTCTCAAAGAGCTTGCCTTACAGGGTCCGGATTACATACCTCCGCCGACTACAGCTGACGCGGAAGTAAATACTTCTACTTTGGTGTGTTGTGAACTTCTGCATCAACAACCTCTGCCTATTGCAACTACACACGATTCCACTGTTCTCACGCCTGTTAAATCTTTGGCTTCTGCCTCGACTGTAGCACCTGCATCATCATCTGCTGTCTCTTCAGCCCAATCACCTTTTACTTTTGCAGAAGTGGTTCGACAGCCAGTACAACCTAGCATTATAATAAAATCCAAATCAAAGAAAACAGCTGCTCAACTGCGTCAGGACCTACAGGTTCACGCACCGCTTAATAAGCTTCAAGTTGCTGTCCAACGTATTTCTTCTCTTCCTCAAGGTGGTTTAGAAGTCTTTTGTCGATCTCCATCTGACATTTCTCGCCTTGAACATAAACTTCAAGATACAAATCTGGACATTGCTGTAACACGTCGCCAGCGTCGTAAGCCCAGGTGTGTGATTCGAAACGTTCCTGAAGATCTTTCATCTGACGATTTGATAGCTGAATTAAGTGCAGCTGCTCATATACAAAACAATGGAATCCGACCTTTGTTTAAACTTAAAGAACGTACCCCTAAAAGAGTACGCTGGATTGTCGAATGTGACTCCACCACCACTTTCCAGGCAGTCATCGCAGTTCGAAAGCTCTTCTTCGGTTGGAATGCACTTCCCATCTCGGAATTTCTGGGCATCCTCAGATGTTACAAGTGCCAGCAATATGGGCACACGCAGGAGCGCTGTACATCACCAACCGTGTTCTGTGCCTATTGCGCTGGCCCCCACAGTCTCAAAGACTGTCACGCCGAACTACCGGAGTGTATCAACTGTCGAGACAGCAACCACCATCATGGCACCTTGTATGACTACCGACACCCTACCTATGCTTCAGAATGTCCATCATATCAACGCACAGCAGAATACATTCGAAGTATCACCCAATACAATACTAGAAGTACTTCTACCAGCTCTTCTTCTACAATTTCTAATACACTGCCTTCACACAGTAATGCTAATTCCTCTACTCCTTCTGGTGTCAAAAGTTCTGCCATGAATCTAGATTTTACTCCAGCTCTTGAACGTATTAATTTTATCCAGATCAATTTACAAAAATCTCGTGCTGCTACTGCACATGCTGTTGATTACGCAGTTAATGCTAAAGCCGATATATTAATTGTTCAAGAACCCTACACGAGGGATGGTAAGATTGTGGGCTTTCCACTACGCTGGTCGATATATCAACATGTAAATAAGGCAGAGCCTCCTAGAGCAGCAATCGTAATTCTTAATCCCTTATGGTCTCCACTTGTTCTCAAGACTGATCGTGACCATGTGGCTATATTACTGGAATTAATTGATATTAAAATTATCCTTTATTCCATTTATTCTCCACCAACAGCGTCATTGGAATCAGCACTTCTATTTCTAGAATATATCCGGCAACATTATCCAGTGCCACATAATATTATAGCGGGCGATTTTAATGCCCATAGTACAATATGGGGTTATCCTCAAACAGATGTTAGAGGTCGTCTTCTAGAGGATTTTCTTAACTCAAATAACCTAGTCCTTCATAACACTATTGATGCTCCTCCGACCTTTGAACAAGCTTCTACATATGGATGGCCTGATCTCACTATATCCACGCCTCCAACAGCTGTCTATGTACAAAATTGGACGGTTGATGATATCAGTGGCCTATCAGATCATAAGTATATTCTCTTTCAATTAGAGCATACAACCAGTACATCTATTGTCCGTCGCTATCGGCTGCCTGGGCATAAAATTGCTGTCTTTCGTCGTCGTGTTACTGCATGTCTTCGCAATTTAGTTCCACATTTGCATCGTTGCACGACGTCAACGGAGTTGAATGAATTCACAGTCCATCTAATGACATCGATACAGGCAATTTGTAATGATCTTTTGCCGCAACGACATACAAAGAAATTGCAATCAATTACCTGGTGGAACTCTTCCTTAGGACAACAACAGCAGAAATGCAGATCTTTGAGACGGAAGCTCAAGCAATTGCGACGTCTCGGCACCTCAGACCGACTATTAGAAGTTTACCGGCACGAACGCGCCCGATATAAAAAAATGATTCTACAGGCTAAGCTTCAATTTTGGCGTGATTTTTGCACCAATAATACCGAAACTTATGGTTTACATCATAAGTTAGCATCGGATAAATTATTCAAACCTGCGGTTTTGCATTTTCCTCCACCATCACAAGCCTCACCTACGATCTGCTCTACGGAGGAAATGATTTCTAATCTTCTGGATGACATTTTCCCAATGGATGATGCTTCAGCAGATACACATCTTCAAGCTGACATTCGCCGGAATACATCTCCTCCTAATAATACACCAGATCCTGACTTCACGCTTTCAGAAATCTCTTATGTAGTTAATCGTCTTCCAAAGAAGAAAGCACCTGGATTGGATGGTGTGGATTATGGCATTATTAAAGTTATTATCCTATCTAATTTATCCTTCTTCCGTGACTTCTTTAACAAGCTTTTCCGCACTGGTACGTTTCCACCTGAATTTAAGGTTGGTCAAGTTATTCTCTTTTTGAAGAAGAACAGGGATGCCCGTCTCTCAACATCATACCGTCCTATTTGCCTTTTGTCTGCTATGGGCAAGGTGTTTGAACGGCTAATAGTACAACGCCTTAAACATCATCTTCATAACACCAATTTTCTTTCCGATCGACAGTACGGTTTTCGTGCTGGTAAGACCACATTGCATGCTCTGAAGGATGTTACCGATGCCATATATACGAATAAACTGGCTGGCTACCACACGGCCTTTATCAGTGTCGACTTGAAGTGCGCCTTCGATACCTTGTGGTGGCCGGCCATTATTCAAGCCTTGCAACAAGCCAAGTGCCCTGTTAATCTCTTCCAGACCTTCAGCAATTATTTGTCGGAACGCTCTCTTATTTTTGTCCATAATAATGGTCAAGTCCATCGTTTGCAGAATCGAGGTTGTCCACAGGGCTCCTGTGCGGGACCTGACTTATGGACCCTCACTTTCAATCAAATTCTAGCTGCACAATGGCCTGCACATACATCTACTTATGCCTATGCCGACGATGTCGCTTTTATTGTCCGTGGCAAAACAAGAGAAGAGCTTCAACGCCATGCTCAAGAAACGTGCAACCTTTTTTCTACACTATGTCTAAATATAAATCTACAGATTTCTGAAGATAAATCTTTTATACTCCTGATCCCGAAAAAGGGTGGATCTCTGGCACGTCGACCCCGCATCGATATTAATAATAAAAGAATAAAGATTGTTCGTCAGTTAAAATACCTTGGCATCGTCTTTGACGATAAATTGAACTGGGCTCAACATCTTTTGCACATTAAAAAGAAAACTTATAACATAGCATATAGGCTCCGACAGATGAGTGGTTTTCAGTGGGGGCTTAACCCCCATATACAGAAACTTCTGTACCAAACGGTTATTGTCCCCATTGTGACCTATGGGGCAGCTGTTTGGAGTCAACCAATGCAGGGCCGTAAAGTAAGGTCTCTCCAATCAATCCAACGTTCTTTTCTTCTCAATATATCTAAAGCCTTTCGAACGACTTCAACTAGTGCCCTACAAGTAATAACTGGTCTTCTGCCTCTCCATCTCCGAACGGAACAGGAGGGAGCACGACAACTACTTAAATTGCTAAATCAACAGGTCACCTTCTATGGCGAACATTATTCTCCTGAAGATTATGAAACGACCCTACAATCGACTACGTCTCCATCCAGCTGCTTATGGACTTGGTGTTCATGTAACATTACGTGAATCTACACAACTGCCTGATGGTGATTATTACATTTACACTGATGGGTCAAAAATAGAAGATAATACTGGTTGTGCTTTTGCAGTTTTTCACCATGGCACTTTATTGCATCAATGGAAAGCACATCTCCATGGACATAACAGCGTGTTCCAGGGAGAGGCCTTTGCCATCGTCAATGCCACTAAATATATTCTGGAACATCAAATATTGAACTGCTGCATTGTAACGGACAGTCAGTCGGTCTTGGCTGCTGCAATGAATCCTGTGCATCCATCAATAATAATTTCGCAACTTCAAGAACTACTTCGATTAGGTGCTCACCTTAATATTCAAATGTTTTGGACACGTGCTCATATGGGCACAATTGGAAATGAACTTGCTGATGAATTAGCTAAGCAAGCGGCCATGAACGATGATGCTATTAATTCTCCTTTAGCTTGGCCCATATCACATTTTCTTCGGAAACTGCACCTACAGTCAGTTATGCAATGGCAGGTCCTCTGGGATGCAGAGGATACTGGCCGCAGAGCGCATTATCACCTGGGCTATGTTGATGAGACTCGTCTTCTTGCCAATTCACAATTGGTAAGATATGTCACAGGTCACGGGCCTTTTCCCGTATATTTTGCCCGCTTTAACATCACATCAACTGATCAATGTGTTTGTGGCCAGGCGGGTACGCCTGAGCATTATGTATCCTCTTGTGAACTTACACGAGAACTGCATATCCCTTTTCCTGCTCAACATCAGCAGGCTTTTAGTAAGTTTTTAATCAAACAACGACATCTTGTTCGGAAACTGACTGCCATCATGTCAAAACTTATGCATCTTGGTACCGACTTATGTCAACCTGTCTAATTACTTGCTGTTCCTACACCTTCTATATTATATGTCAAATTGTTTCATTTACTGCATTTATCAATTAATTTAGCTGTATTGTTACCATATCCTTTGCATTTTGAATTAGTATGTTGTCATTTATTGTCTAGTGTTGTTTCAATACTGTTAGTAATACGAATTATGCTGCACTATGTAACACAATTTATCTGTGATTTCTATTACTTGCACATATTATTTACTGCATACTGAATTTGCAGTTTCTTCTGTATTGCATTGGTACTCATATTTATATCATTTGTATTAGTTAAGTACTGGTTCATCATAAATGCATCTGTTCTGTACTGAATTTGTGTTGCATTCATATTTAACAGCATATTAGAATTTTTTGTGTTGCATTCATATTTGTGTTGCATTTATCTTCAATAATTTGTGTTGCATATATCTTCAATAATTAGTGTTGCATTTATATTTAATAGCATATTATAATAGCATATAGAATTATATTGCACTCATATTCAAATATTGCATTTGTACTAATATTTATATCATCTGTATTAGTTAAGTAATGGTTCATAATATATGCATCTGTTCTGTACTGAATTTGTGTTGCATTCATATTTAATAGTATTTGTATTTCTTATGTGCTGATTTATATAGATTGCATTGTTACATACTGAATTAGTAATGCATTTGTCGTGTCCTGCCCTTATCCTCATATTATATTCTTCATTTTTATAATGTGCTGATTCATCCTGATTGCATATATTATGCACTGACTTTGTATTGTCTATTATATACTGAATCTGTATATATTTCTATTCACAGTATTTGTTATGTGCTGAATTCTATTGATCACATTGTTATATACTGTATTTGTACTGCATTTGTAGTGTACTACCCTTATCTTTCTATTTATATTATTCATACTAGATATGTGCTGATTCATCTTGGTTGCATTTATTACATACTGAATTGTATTACCTCTCATATACTAAATTTGTATCGCATCTGCGCTGAATTTACATTACCTGTTATATTTTGCATTTATATGAGTTCATCTTGATTAGATTAATTATGCACTGAATTTGTATCACTTATTATATTTGTATTACTTGTTCTATACTGAATTTATAATGCATTTGTATTTATTTTATTCGTATTTGTTCTGTGCGGTTTTATCTTGATTGCATTTCTACAGCATTGAATTTGATTTACCTGTTATCTATTGCATATTGTCATTTATAGTGTACTATTTATATTTATATTATTCGTATTGGTTAAGGGCTGATCCATTCTGATTTTATTTATTACGCATTGACTTTGTATTACCTGATTTATACTGACCTTTTACATTATTATTATTTATTTATTTTTTGTATTGTATCGGTTATGTGCTGATTAATATTAACTGCATTCTCATATACTGAATTGGTAACGCATTTATAGTGTACTGCCCTTATACTTACTCATATTTCTATTACTCACATGCACTCATATCTTTGATTTGTATTTGTTATGTACCCATGCCATTACTTTATCCTCCATAATGTACTCTGGCCTATTTAATATATTTAATTTTGATTCAGATTTAGTATTATTGTGATGTCATTAACCAGTAATAGGCCTATTCTGTCTTATCGTGATGCCCTTAACTTATAACACACCCTCTGTGTTCTGTACTCATTTTCCTATAACTTGCTTTATCTTGTAATCATGTAATCTTTACCTCTTATTGTTAAATTTGTACAATCCTTGATACAGGGTTGCCACTCAAACAGGAGAATGAAATTCCCTGACTTTTCCAGGTTTTAAAAAATTTTAAAAACGGATTTTCGTAGTTTTTTTTTTTTTTCTCTCTGAAAATAACTAATCCATGAATTAATTTACTTGCGCCAAAAAATATTTTCTTTTCTTTAGAGTTTAACCACTTGCGCTAAGACTAAACTTCACGGTTGCGGTGCCGTGCGCTACAATATAACAAGCGGTAAAGTGTCTCATTTACGCCGCTCCGCATCTGCGAGTGCAATCCAGAGCTGTAACTCGAGAAATAAACAATCTCGTTGTTAGGCGACATGTGCACCACGTTATTTTCATTTTTGCGATAAATGCTTATCGACGTGGTGTTCACGTCGCTCGCGGTTTGAGACAAAAGCATCTTGACGTGCGTGGCACGTCTTTTTAGCGCAAGTGGTTAAAGAAATTTTAAACGATATTCATTTTATGAACTCTTGATAACGTGACCTTCGAACTTCGACACCGGTTTCGAGCTTTGGTGACAGATATATCAGACATGCACAGCTGTTTCCCTCTATGATGGAACGGAGCCACAACCACGTCTGTTGCAGAGAGGTTTTCCTTCTTTACAATACATATTCTTTAATTCTAACCTCCATAGTACCATATACTAGGATTAAACCCATTTTGTTTTATACGAGAATAGGTACTTTCTTTAGTTCATGCACTGCACATGCGATTCTCGAGAATACTGGAAACCAAAAGTTGCGGGAAAGTTGCTTTGCCTTTCCAAAAGACAATCAAATTGGAGCTGCGAAAATTGGCTCTATGCCAGCTACCCGAATGACACTCACGTGATACATAATTCGCCAAAAAAGTTACCTCTTCCGACGTCGGCGCAAAAATCGCTTTTTTTGGCGGGATCGTTGTATGAACTTCCCTGACTTTTCCAGATTTTGACAAAAATACTTAAATTCCCTGACTTTTCCCTGAATATTTTGGTCAATTTTCGAATTCCCTGACTTTTCCCGGTTCTCCCGGTTTTCCAGGGAGCGTGGCAACCCTGTTGATATATTATTAATGTACTTAATTGTATCTGTCTATGCCCTTGTTTGGCCATGTAAATATTTCTTTTATAAATCTGACGCCTGGGCGACGGGGTGTGGGTCCCCTATGGGCCTTTGGTTCGTTGAACTGCCCTGGGCGGATCCGGCGTAGGGCTTGGTCTCTCTGTGCGCGGCTCTCATGTGGCCTCTTTGGCTGCTCTAGATCTTGGGAGGCGCGGTGCTGAACTGATTCACCCTATGGTAAAGGTACAGTGCTCGCGTCTTCCGTTAATGGAATGGAATGGTGCGTAGGTGGCGGTGGCCCGATCCATTGGCCTCCAGAGTACCGAACCTATCATGCATGGACTTCTTCTGAGGTTACATGAAGAGTCTGGTGTACGAGCTTTAATGTACTTTTTCTCGTTACTTTTTCTCGTACGTTAATGTGCTTTTTCTCTGTACTTTTGAGACGTCCGTTCCTTTAGTTGAAGACCTTGTCGCTCGAATGTCTGTAACTGCCGGTAGGATACGTGACTTGTTACGTTACTTCTTTCTATATGACAATAATTTTCCAGAACGTAGGGAATTCCATGCAACGTCGCTATTAGGCATGGCAGATGACTCCTAGTCGTAATTAGAACACCTGTTGCAGTACTGTAGAGACACTCTCGCCGGGAATCGAACCACGGGTCCCTGGATACGCACCCAGCATACTGACCACTTCACTACAAAGGCATGCTAAGAAGGCGGGAGAAATACCTTATATACTCCCCCTTTTAAAAGGCGACTGTGGTCTTTAGGGGACCCAATCGCAAATCCTGTGTGTGGAGAATCACCATCCACCACCCTTTTAGGGCGCCACTGTATAGACATTAGGTGGCCTTCGCCGAGAATCGAACCACGGACCTCTGGAATAAGCGCCTAGCGTGCTGACCTTTACACTACGAAGGCAGGCTAAGAAGGCGAGAGGAATACCTTATAGTACAACCTTTCAATAAAATGTTTTCTGTCCCATTAATGTGTCCCCGGGGGTTGACTCAGGCGAACGCCTGGGAAGTACTGGTTAGGATCTGTACCTAGGCAGTCTCAACCACGGGGGTATATAATTTGACTTCACAGGACTAGAGCCCGAGTATTGTACCCAGGTTGGTTCAGTCTTGGCAGAGACCGACTGGTACTGTCGTGTTTGTTCCTTCGGCTGTGGTGGAGCTGTATGGAAGATTTGTCGACTGAGTTTCCGGGGGTTTGACCCCATTCAGTTCTCGTGGCGGGGACTGACAAAGTGGACAGAGCACCTATCTACAATGTGGTTATACCGATGGAGTGGTGCCCGGAGGCAAGGTGCCAGAGTTTTATCTAATAGCAACGTTTTTATTCCGCCCAATGCTTCGTAAAAGCCGGGCGGGGACTTCGGAGGTTGCATCCGCGAGAACGAAGTCCCACGAACGTTGGATATCCAAACTCTGAATGGGTCCGGCGTAATGAGGACCTGGGACGGAGGTCCTTCGTTTGGTGTGTCTGTCCCATTAATGTGCTGTTGTTTCTGTACTTTTTCTCTGCTTCTTTTCACCATAGCTCGCCACTACGGCATTTGCAACCCTGCATTCCTATGGGATTCCGAGTCGTCTGCGTACCCCCTACACACCCTGCAAGTTTGCCGGCTTAGTAGCGAATCACTCTGTAAATATATACCCATTCTGTTACTCGGCTCAGTGAGCTCAGTTTTTTCATTCTCATATTTTGGTAAATTTGCATTTTTTGATTTAAAAATGATTGAATTATGTCGTTCTTATCTTCCGATTAAGGTTTTTAGGTCTTTAGTTAATCTGCATACAATATTTTTAGAACTATCAACAATTTAAAAGTTGGTTAAGTACGGCTAAGTCTAATTTTTGTTTAAAACAGCAGCCATATTTATTTACACATGAAACTTAGCAGAATAGAGAATTAATTCTTTCTGCACCTTCAGTGTCTTTTTGACGAGTGGGACCAAAAGGAAACTTTTAGTTTTGTGCATCGAAAAATCTGCCTTCTTGCCTACTGGCCGAATTGCTTGTTATTCCGTAGAACCTGTAATTTTAATTGTAAAAAATGTTTTCTCTAATTGTTTTAACTGTACATGGTGTTTTATGTTTATCTATATCTTTCAATTTTTAGTGAAAATATTTTTGAGTTTTTATGTATTTTTGCCTTGCCGCAAGGTGAGAAAGGTTAATTGAATGAAAATATATGTAATGA